ATTTAATTTGGTCACAATTAGCGACCGATTTAGCAACCAATTTAATTCAGTTACAATTACCTACCGATTTAGCGATCGATTTAATTCGATCGCAATTTAGCGAATCGATTTTGCCACCGAAATATGATTTAGTTTCATTTTTTTATTTAGGGACTGAAATAGCAACCAATAGTTTGCGTCACAAAATTTCGATCGCTAAATCGATGGCTATTCCATATTAAAATAAAAAAATCATTTAGCAACTGATTTAGCGATCGAACGACAAATTGAAATAGTGACCGAATTGAAATCGGTCACTAATGAACATTGTTTTTTTATTATATTTAAATTAATTTTTTATAAATATACTTTAATTGCTTTAGTATATTTTTTACAAATTATTTTTTAAAAGTAATTTATTTTTTAAAAATAATTTATTTTTTAAAATATACTTTAAAAATAAACTTTGGTCTCAATATTAACAAAATGAAGATTAACTTTAATTTTAAATTACTAAAATAAAAATATTATTAAAATAAATCAAATTTATTAAAAATTTAAATTATAATAAATTAAGACTGAAGTGATATTAACTATTCAATACATTGTTTAAGAAAAATTTAATAACAGATATTCTTTAATATATTTTTTAATTTCAATTTCAATTGAAATTAAATTATATTTTAAAAATTTATATTAAAAAAATTGAACAAATCAAAATATCACATTTTAATTCCTCATTAACTTAATTAATTAAAAACATTACAATATCAATCAAATTATTACAATTTTATTTTATAATATTTTATTTTTAATCTAGTTTTTAAATTTATTGCTTTATTATTATTAATTGTTTAACCATGATTGTTTTCATATAATTGATATATTAGAAAAAAGAAAAAAATTTATATCAAAATATAATTGATATACATTAGATAATAAATATATTATTTAATTAAATTATTTATAAAAATATATTTATCTTTAGTTGAAATATTTTTTTACTTTAAATATACTAATTAATATTTTTTATTTTTAACAAAATTAATAACAGATTAAAAATAGACTACTGGAAAAGTTAAAAATTTAAAACTAATTCATTTTATAAATACTAAAAATAAACCATATTTAAATAAATTAAAAATATATTTAAATCTATATTCAATACATCTCCAATTTTGCTCAATAAATGTATAGATCACATTTGGAAACTTTATCATTGAAATAACTTCAAAATTATTAACTTTATTTTTTCAAAACCCAGTTTTTCTTGTTAGTTTTTTTTTTAAAAAAAACAGTTAATATAAGTTAAGGATGTACCTTTTTAAAATTTTAACTTTTTTATATATTGGATTTTTATAAAAAATTTTCTAAAATTGGATAAGAAAATGGAGATTTAATTATACTTTTAATAAATTTAAGATAATATTAGTTTTTGTTTTTATTTTTAAATATTTATTTTAACTGTTTAAAACAGATAAACTATAATTTTAGTTTCTAAATACTAAATTTAATTAATTTAATTTATTATTATTTAATCTCTTAATTTTAGTATTAAAAATTTAAATTATATTTTATTGAATTAAAATAATTACAATATATTTTTCTACTTTGAGAATTAAAAATATAATTAAACTAAAACTGAAAAATATTATAATATATTTTTGAACTCTTTTTTATAATATTTTTATCATTATTATATTTTTGGATTAATTATTTTTTTCCTAATTTTTTTATAAAGTCAATTTTAATATTTAAAAATATTTAATATTTTGAATTCTGAAACTTTTTTTCTATTAGAAAATTTAAAAAAATAATATACTAAAAAAGTATTATACGTAATTGTTTCATCCAACTTTTTAATAATATGATAAGTCATCAAATTCGCTTTTTCTTCTTTCATATCTTTTCTTTTCCATATGCATGCTTGAATTTATAAACAAAATAATCTACAAAATTCACTTCTCTAATATTTATCTTCACATTTCTTAGCTATTTTTTTATGGCTATGAAGATCAAGATTGGTACACATACTTAAATATATTATAAAAGAAGAATATTTGTTCATTCTATTTTTTTTCTCAACCTATAATTTTATTATTTTTATTTTAAATATATTTATATTTTTTTAAATTAATAATTTTAATCTAGTCATCTAAATCTTTGTTGTGATGATTCTAATTAATTGATATTATTAAATGATTTTATTTGATTTGTTATAGTAAAAATCATCAAAGTAAATGTTAAAATAATATTAATTACTTTAAATTAGAAGAAAATAAATAATAAAAATAAAAAATAAATTTGAAGTTAAAAAATACGTAAAAATAAAATAAAAAAATTTAAATACTTGTCTTAAATAATATAAAACAAATTTAATGATGGATTAAAATAGAACAATATTTATAAGAAACTATTTATTTTTATTTATGATGGATCAAAAGTGGAAATATATTTAAATTTATAATTTTATTTATGAAACACATTTAAATTTATAATTAACGAAAATAATAAAAATCTTAATAAAATATGATAATTTTAGTAATGTATTTTTTTTATAAACTTAAACTTACTTCTTTTTAGTTTAGTTTTTAAATTTTATGTATTATTATTATTATTGTTAATTGATATACTAGAATAAATTTATATAAAAATAGTCTTTATCTTCAAAATTCACTTCTTCAAATTCTATCTTTATATTTTTCTACTGTTTCTTTATAGTTAAGAATGTCAACATTTATGCACACACTTAAATATAATACAAATTAAAAAGTATTTTTTTATTCTATTTTCTTTCCAATCTATAATTTTAGTATTTTTTTAAATATATTTTATATTTTTAAAATTAATAATTTTAATGTAGTTATCTAAACTTTTGATGTGATGATTTTAATTAATTGATATTATCGAACCATTTTATTTGATTTATTATAGTAAAAATCATAAAAATAAATGTTAAAATAATATTAATTATTTAAATTATAAAAAAATAAATCATAAAAATAGAAAATAAAGTATCCTATAAAAGAAGACTAATTATTGCAAAGATAAAATAGAATATGAGAGGAGATGAGGATGATAATGTAGTAGAAATGATAGAGTTTTCAAAAAATGTAGAATGTGAGAAGTTTAAAAAGAAAAAAAGTTAAAAAAAGATATATACATAAGTAATTGGATTAAATTTATTATCCCCTCATATATTATTATACATTATTAGCGTAATTTTAGTTTAATTAAAAATTAGAATACAAATATACTATACTAATGTACCAATATATTATAAAATTTGTAATTTATTTTCATTATGTATAAATTACAAAACTAATAATTTTTAAAAAATTTAATGATAATTTTTTTTAACTTACATATTACAAAATATTTTTAATACTTTAATAAATATAACTTTTTTTAAATATATTTCATCAATTTAAAGTATAATATTTTTGTATTTTTTAGTATTTTTTTAATGTGGATATCTTTAATATTATAATTTATATATGTTTTTAAATCTTTTTTTAAAATTTGTTTTTAAAAATATAATATTATTTTTAATATTTATATTTTAAATTTTTTTCTTAAATGATGAACAAATAATATTAATATTTTTTAATTAATTAAATTTATAAATAATGAATTAAAAACATTTATTATCTTTTAAAAAATATAATATTATATTTAATATTTTAATGTTTATATTATAAATTCTTTATTAAAATATTAGGTTCTTGTCTTTTTCTTTTCTTTCATCTCTACTTCAAGCTATTAAGAATTTTTTTTCATCTTATAAATTAAATTTTAAATATATAAATATATAAATATATTTGTATTTATATATTTTATATTTATATATTTATACCAATATATATTTATTTGTATATAAATATAATTTATTTTTAAGTTATTATAAAAAAATTTTGTAGTTTAATAATTAGAGTATCGATCTCCAACTTTAAGATAGTTTAAAGTATATAAAGAATAAGCGACCAAATTTTTGGGTCGTTATAGTGAATTTATAATTATGCATTTTCTAAAATAATAAAAAAACATATGATAGAAAGTATATGATATAGACAAAAAAACCTAATCATATTTAATTTCTATGATTATTTGTTCCACCCCTATTGACATCAGGGTACTATGGTGCTAAAATCTGTAACTTGGCAGAATAATCTAATTGTACTCATTTTAGACATCTAGACACTAGAATATAAGTTTGATTTTAAATATAACAACATAGGGAACTCCATTGTTCTTTTATCATGTGTACCACGTTGTACCCAACATTAAATTCCTAAATACCATCCTTTAATTGTAACCAGAACCTAACATGGACTAACTCCAAGAGAACCTATCAAAGTGACTACACACCCACTACATCAATTCCTAGTTTCATTTCAGTTCCACATCCTACAACTAATTACATACATATACCTAATACCAGTTTTATTCATGACACATCCTCAGATGTTTTGTTCCTTCAACAAACAACAGAAAAAAGAAGATGTTTTTTAATTATTTTATTATTGTTCTTCTTAGTATTTTACCTTTTTGTTGTAAAATAACTATAATTATGTTTTTATTTTATTAAATTTTCTGACATGGCTCAATCCTAATTTCTAATTTTATTCTCAATATTATTACACATGCACTTTTTGTAATTGGAATCTGAATGGTCATATATATCTTACTACAACCCAGTTACTAGTTGCAAGAGTTGAAAATAAAAAGACAAACTTACACGCCCAAACTATTCAGTGAGAAATTGTAACCTCATTGCACCAGACCAAGCCCAATTGATGGGAAAACAATTTAGGTGATTACAAAGATTGACTAAATGATGACTTAACTAGTTTTTTCATCCAAATCCATCTGAATTTTGGCTTTTAGTAAGTAAAATTTAAGGATTTGAGGTATTGTAAGTTTTTAGAATTTTTACAGCTTTATACATGAAACAAGACTAAATTATATATGAAGACAATTCTGCACTGTTTCTACTGAGGTCGAAGAACTTGTTTCACATATCAGACATGTTTAAGCCTAATTTCTATTCCTTCAAGAATGAAACCACACTTCAAAATATGACTTGTTGTCTCCATGACTCTCATTTGCACTTGGTCTTCTTCTAGGCCTGAATTGAAGAACTCTCCCATCTCAATCTCCAACCAGCCATCACTTCTCACTTTAGGACATTGTAGTTCTGTTAAGCGATTATTGTTCAAGTTGAGGTCCAGACAAACATATTTGGTGTTGGTACTGCCTCCAGAAATACCAACTGATAACACTGTGGGATGGTAGTGAAATCCACTTGCATTGATCATCTTAAACACAAGAAAAGCTGCATAATGAGTATTTGAAGACAGGGCAAGGGTGTTTATCCTCCCACTAATGTCAAACCAGCACACAGCACGAAGCACAGCAACTACTTGGAACCTGGAAACACTAGAATTAATCACACGTAGCACAAAGTTCAAGATAGTTGTTAAAATCAATTGATCAAGGAATTAAATTGTGATCACACTTGTGTTTTACCATTTTACAATCAAATATGTTTGATGTAGTCACGACTGTGATCATAAACACTTGTAAAACCTTGAAACTGTAGTCAAAATTAAGAAGACAGAATGTTTATTAAAACTTTAATCAATCAATTAACCTTGACTCTGGCAGGATTGTCCACTCCCAATGTTGAACAGTGTCACCCCATATAATGTCCAGATTTCTAGCAGAAAGCATGTAACACTTCTTCCCGGTCCTTTTGTCCAATTGAACACTCTGCATTAATTTCAGTGACAACACATTTCATTTACTGTGAAACCACTAATGCTTGGTTTTGGATATAAACCACAGCTACCATATTCATGAGAAATTATTCCAAGACCCCAGATGACCAAATTATTTTTTATCAAAATCATCAAGGACAAGTGTTATTTTTACTTACCTTTTTACCCTGATCAATGATGGTGGGGTGGTTGCAGAGATTGAAATAGAGATCCTTCTTAGAGCTAGAGAAAGGAAAGGAAGAAGGAGGAAAGGTAGAGGCCAAAATGGGGAGAAAACCACCCCATACAGAGTCAGATTCAGCTGCAGAACAAAAGGCTTTGGAAACTAAGGAAAACCTGCTTGCATCCATAGGAGAGGTGTATGACAGTATTTTTGCAATGCATCCTTCTGGCAAATCTTGCAATTCCATTGATATCATTGTTCCTTTTCCTCCCAGTAATGGAAACATGAACTAAGAATTATGATGATGAAACTTCTACCTTATGTTGCTTACATTAGTTGTCATGTCTCCTTCGTATACATCTCATGGTCAACTACTAAATTGATTGCACGAATTGGATATTGTAGAATTTAGATAATTATATATAAAATTTATCAATAGGGTTATCTGTAGATAGATCAATTAAAATAAAGTAACTTATGGACATAATCTATCAGTTTTTTAAGATTTCTGTATCACACAAGGCCGATTCCAAAGATAATAAAGACAAGTTACAGTAAACAATATGACACCCACAACCACCCTATTATACTTAAGAAAATAATATAAACTAAAATTGATAAAGTCTTTGTAAAATTCATTTTAGCACATGTTTTTCATTTTTTTCGTGATTGGTTATATACTTTAAAATTATCTCAAATTTAACATTTTAGGAGTTTAAATCATATTTTATTAAATTTGAGAAATTAAAAAATAATTTATTCCAACTTTTAATTTAAATGAGAAGATTACAATAAGTCAAGAGAGGAAAATATCATTTTTTTTTCTAATCTAAACAATATACCTTTTCTGAATTAGATTAGCTAGTTTTTTTTTTTTTAAAGGGTGATTATTTTTTTGGTCTTACAAAATATAAAACCATGGATAAGTGGGAATTCTATGTAGGCGGCCCCAGAAATCAGTGGGCACCATAAACATGTGAAAAATAATGAAAACATATGAAAATTAAATGTTTGATTCAAATGACATTAAAATTAAGAATAGAGATAAATAAAAAAACATGAAACATACCATATTTTGTGTTTTTAAATTTCTCTCCTCTTATTTTCTTTATTAATCCAAATTTTTATTTTCATTTTTTTTTATTTCTTCCCCATCAAAGAAAAAAAATATCATGACCCTCCACTCAACATTTATTATGTAGCCTTAAATAATTTGAAGATACTAACAAGGAAACTTCGCTCTAAATGCAGATTATTTTGTCATCTACGAATCATTTTCAATTCAAACAACGTTAAGGCCATTTTTTTTCAGATTAATGAAATATAATTAATTAGGTTAAGCATAGGTCTAATCACAATTCTTCTAATTACTAAGTTTTTAATTAAACAATAATAAGATATTTCTAAAAAAAATATAATATGTTAGGAAGTTCTTACAGTAAAGTTTAAATTTCAATGAGAGTGTTATTAATAATTCTTTATATGTAGTAATTGTAATCATCCTAAAAATCTCTACTATCAAATTTAACATGTAATACAAAACTGATCTCTATTAGAATGAAATCATATCATAAAATACAAATAAACATGTGTATAACAATCTTGGAAATTTTAGGGTTTTGTGTATATGTATTTCGATATATCATGTGGGTATATTTTTATTCATGTACTCTATGTATATATAAAGTAAAAATATTACAAAATATCAAATATTAATAATATCTCAATCATAACTCGCCTAAATCAAAATAATAACCTAATATCTTTTTACCTTCTCTCTTAAAAGATAATAAAATCTCTTAATACTTAATTTAAATAAAAGATAATAAAGTAATATTCTCAACATTCTTTCTTACTTTAATATCTATTTATTTGAATTTGATATTTTTTCTTTTATTTTGCTTATAATTTTTCCTCTTTTTTTGTTTGTACTTCTTTTCATCTTCTTTCTTGTATGAGATCACATCTTCATTCAATTTCATTTTCTTCATCAAAGTATTTCTTCTTTTATCAACTTCATCTCCTTTGTTTCTTTCAAACTTCTTCATGGTAGTACTATTGACTCTTTGATGGACGTTGAAAACGGTTTCTTCATTTACATCTTTATTTTCCTCCTTAACATCAAGTTCCTTCAAGAAATCTTCTTCATGATTTTTCTTTGACTTTTCTTTTATATCTTCGTTTATAATCAACTTTTCTTTCATCAAATCTAAAATGAAACTTTTTCCTTTCATGTAAACTTTGAATATTTCCAAGTTATTTGTATCTTTAATCACACAAAGTGTGTTCAAAAGACACCTTATAACTTTTCTCCAATAATTGAGTAACACTTAACAAATTATGATTAATATCAGGAACATATAAAACATCAAAAATTAATTTGATACCCAACATACTTTTAACTACAATTGTTCCTATACCTTTGACATCCATTTGTTCTCCATTACCGATTCTCACTTTAGAAATATGTGATTCATTGAGCTCTTTGAAAAATTCTCGATCATGAGTCATGTGGTTTGTACAACCACTGTTTATAAGCCAACTTGTAAATTTGTTGATTGTAGAGCATGTTGATGCAAGAAGAAGTTCTCCTTCTACTCCATCCTCCATAACTTGAAGAAGTCCCCCTTCTACTTAATCCTCTATCTTGACGACTTCTTCTAGTTGTGATTTGCATATCTTTTGTATATGTTCCAATTGACCACATTTTCGACATTTCACATCAAGCCTCCACCAACACTTGTTGGGTGTGTGATTATTTTTCTTGCAATAAGGACAAACAAAAAAGACTCGTGATTTTGTACTTTTGTTGTTCTTGGCTTGGAAAGAACATCCATCATGATATAATAAAGAACCTTCACCAACAACATGATCTCCTCTCATCAATCTTCGTTGCTCTTGCGCTTGTAAAACATGTAACACTTCTGCCAAAGTAATATTAGATAAATCCTTTGTATTTTCCAATGAAGTAATAAATGCTTCATATCTCTCTGGCACAGTTACCAGAATTTTCTCAACTATTCTGGAATCAGAAAATTCCTTGCCTAACAATTTTATTTTGTTAGCAATACCAAACAATTTATTTGAGTATTCATTAATTATTTGAGACTCTTGCATCTTTTGTATCTCAAATTCTCTTATCAAATTTAAAACTTTCATACCTTGAATTTTTTCATCCCCTTCATATTGATCTTTCAAATAATCCCAAATTTCTTTGAGTGACTTTAGCATCATGATTCTGGTGAGGATCATTTGTGAAACACCAGCAAACAAACATGATTTAACTTTTGCCTTCCTCGTTTTTCTTTCTCTGTGAAATTTCATTTCAGCTATGGTGGAATTTTCAGGTAGTGGATCAACAATATAATCTTCTTCTACAGCTTCCCATACATCCAATCCTTCAAGATAGGATTGCATTCTCACAGTCCATAAGTCACAATTTTGCCATAAAAAACTGGAATAACGATTTGTGAAAAATTTCTTTCTCCTTCCATTATATCGAATCAAAGCTTTGATACCACTGATGAGAATTTTAGGGTTTTGTGTATATGTATTTCTGATATATCATGTGGGTATATTTCTATTCATGTATTCTATGTATATATAGATAAAAATATTACAAAATATCAAATATCAATAATATATTAATCATAACTGCCTAAATCAAAATAATAACCTAATATATTTTTACCTTCTCTCTTAAAAGATAATAAAATCTCTTACTACCTAATTTAAATAAAAGATAATAAAGTAATATTCCCAACAAACAAAATAATAAGAGAAACATTATATTTTAAATTAGTTTTATTATCTAGATATAATCTTTATACCTGTAATATCATTTGCTCCCATATGATCAACACGATCATAAGAATCAGGTCTTTAAACAAGACAATAAGGATAAGTTAATTATTCAATAATAATTTATCACTTAATGTACCACACATACAAATACTACACCACATCACTTACATCAAATTTTACCATATCACATAATTGCACATCACATTTATATTTGACTCATACATACACCTTTCAGAAGAATGATACTATGCTCCAAACTTAAAGACTAACATCTGTGGGTCACATTGAAATCGATACTACACCAAATACTCTCTGACTACCAATACCATTCTGGTTTTCCTACTAATAGAGTAGAATTACTAACAATGTTACCCCTCCTAATGCACCTCTCTCGTGATCTTAGGGCAAGTAATTAGTAATCCCCTAATCGGCTCTTCACCTATTAATACCCTTAATCTACTTGATCGAGACTATCAATGACACCTGAGATCTCATTGAATCCGTACAAGCATAGTAATCACACTAACACTACATAGTACCTCCCTGAGTATCCACAATCATACACATATCAGTCGATTATGAATCAAATCTCTAGCTAGACTTAGTCTCACATACACAAATGTGTGTTAGTATTAAAAAACACACAACACAGTCATATAATCTCCTAATTCATCACACATATCATTTTTCTTACATTTATAATTAACTGAATTTGTTTTGGACTAAATATTATAATTATGTATTTATCTATTTTGACTTTTGCATACTCTTTTGTCGTAACTTTCTTTATAAATATCCTTTTGGGTTAATTCTTATTTCATTAGATTTCTCATTTCCAGGGCTTTAATTTGAATATATGGAACATAAAATTTGGAGTTCAGATATTTTTTATGATTTTTAGAAGTTTGAATTGAAAATATCCCTAGAATTTCGCTTGAGTGAAAATTCAATTGCATCAATTCTCTCCTCTCACTTGAGAGAAATGTTAGCCAACTTAACTCTCGCTTGAGTGAAATTGAACCGACTTAACTTATTGAGGCAACCACCATAACCTTAAGCCATCTCTTCCACCATCTTACCGTCAATCAAGCAAATTAGGTCTCACTAAGCGAAAATTGACCTGAGAAGTGAGTTTTTTTCTAAGTTTCCTACCTTTCCTCATCCCAATACCCAAATTTGTACCATAAACATGTCATAGGAACATCATACAACACTAAAATTCATAAATACTCCTTTCTATTGTCATTACAACACACCAGAACATATGTACTTCCTTTCCATATATATTATTACTTAAATAACCAACTCCCCTCGCCTGGATATTCTTGAATCCTAACTTCTCTAGATATATGTGAAACCCACAATCAATACTCTGGTTCCAAAACCTGGGCAACACCCCAGCATAACAATGATATATCTTAGTTTCTAGATTCCCCCCTTAAACTTAGAAATAACTAAAACCACAAAATAGCAAACATGACTTACCTGTTCAAAGTTTAGTTTGGGCATAATCCCTCATTATCCTTTTAGCTTCCTCTTATCACTTCCGGATATAAAATCCACTAGAGTTTTAGTACTTTAAATTTAGAGAGCTTAGAGTGTTCTACTATAGGGAGATGAATGTTTATAAAAACTATTCAACTTAGCCTTATATTTATATAGTTTTCCAAGCAAATGAATATATTTTTATATTTATAAAATAAAAAACTGTGTCATTACAATCTCTTCACCACAAAAATTCCATATAGAGCTTCATATGGTGTCATCACAATGTTGGCATGATGAATATTATTATGAGTACATTTCACCAAAGGAAGTATTTGTCCCAACTCCCAAAATGGTCCAACACACAAAACCTTAATAAATCCTTTAGTGACTGAATGGTCCTTTCTGATTGTCTATCTATCTAGGGATGATATTCAAAATTGAATTTCAATTCTACCCCCAAATTGTCCTACAAGGTCTGCTAGAATTTGGATATAAATCTAGGATCCCGGATAGAAACTATACTAGAGGATACACCATACAATCTAACTATCTCCTTGACGTACAACTGAGCTAACATGACCATAAAGATTCTCAGGTTAACAGATAGGAAGTGAGAACTCTTCATTAATCAATCCATTATCACCCACACAGAATCATGTCCCCTCATTGTCTAGGTAAGTCAGTGATGAAGTTCATGGCTATTCTATCCCACTTCCATTGTGGAATCTCCATTTATTGCAATAATCCTCCAGGTCTTTGATGTTCCACCTTAGCCTTTTGGCATATTAGATCGACAGATACATACTCAGTCACATCCCTTTTCATGTTAAGCCACCAAAAGGAGCCCTTCAAGTCTTGATACATCTTAGTCATGTTAGGATGTAAACTAAGTTTACTCTTGTGATCCTTATAAAGAGTCATCATCTTTATCTCCTGATATGTTGAAACACATTATATTCTTAAACCTTAATATTCCATTTGATCCCATACTAAAGTCCCTTGTTTAAGTCGTTTACAATTGCCCTTTAGTATTTTACAATGTAGGATTTGATTGTTGTCTCTCTTTGATCAATCCCAAGAAATCATTAGTTATAGTAATCATACTACAACTAATGTGATTTGGAGATATTTTGACTCGTAAGTTTATATCTCTTAACTTCTTCAATAATTTCAGCTCTTTAATCATCATAATTGGTATTTAAACAATTTTCTTGCTAAGTGCATCTGCAACCACATTAGCCTTTTCTGGATGGTAGTTTAATTGAAAGTCATAGTCCTTTAGAAATTTCATCTATCCCCTTTGCCTCATGCTCAACTTCTTCTGGTCGAACAAGTATTTTAAACCCTTATGGTCACTGAATACTTCAAATCTAGCACCATACAAGTAGTGCTTCCACATTTTCATTGCAAAGATCACCGCTTCTAGTTATCATGGGTTGGATAATTCGTCTCATATACTTTCAATTGTCTTGATGCATAAGCTACAACCTTCTTCTCTTGCATCAATACACAACCCAACCCTGGAAGGAAGCATCATAGTATACCTCAAGGGTTTTAGTTGGATCAGGAATAACTAACACCAATGGGTAGGTTTATCTCTATTTTAACTTCAAGAAACTTTGCTCACATATATTCAAGTAAATGGTTGATCCTTGCGGTTCAAATGTGTCAATGGGGTGGCTATATTGGAGAATCTTGTTATAAATCTCCTATAGTAACCAACTAAGCCTACGAAACTCTAGACTTTGGTAAATGTCTTAGGACTTTGTAGATTGCTTTTACTTTAGCGAGATTTACTGGAATTCCTTTAGCTAAGAATACATGTCTCCAGAATTATACTATATGTATCCAAAACTCGTACTTGGATAATTTAGTACAACATTATTTCTCAAAATACCCATCATTATTCATAAATCCTCCCTCAAAACATAATGACAACCTTATCGAAATAAGGGCAAAATATCCTATTCATATAGTCCAGAATATTATTGGGGCATTCATCACTCCAAAAAGCATGAGCACATACTCATAGTTGACATATTGGGATTTGAAAGTTGTCTTCTGCACATCCTCATTTTTCACCAAGATTTGATAGTATCATAATCCCTAATCAATCTTCGAAAATATTGTTGTTCATGCAATTGATCTAGTAAAGCATCTATCCTTGGAAGAGGATATTTGTTTTTAATAGTCAACTTATTCAACTTCATATAATCGATACATAATCTGAAACTCTCGTCGTTCTTTTTAACTAGTAACACCGATGTGCCCCATGGAGATGCACTCAGTCTAGTAAACTTTTTCTCTAAGAAATCTTTAACTTGTTTCATCAATTATGCTAATTCTAATGGAGTCATCTTGTAAGGAGCTATGGATGGTCCTACTCCCGGAACTAAATCAATTCCAAACACCACTTCTCTTCTTGAAGGTAATCTTGAAACTTCATCTAGAAATACATCCACATATACCTGTATAGGAGGAATATCACTCATTTGGTTGTTGTTAGTGCCTTCCATCTGTGTCAGGATATTGAAGCATTGAGCTCCATCTTTCATCTCACTACTAATTTGTTTATATCTCCTCGTTCTAACTCTTGGTAGAATTAGCTTTCTCTGTTGTAATCAATGAGAATAAAATTGGTAGGTAGTCAATCCATTCCTATAATCACATCTAGATCTTTCAAAGGTAAACTCAATCAAAACACAAACCTTTAAAGCTACCACCAAGCTAGATGTTGATGTAATCACAATCAATTCAACCGTTAATTCACAGGTAGGAAGTCTCAACTTTTCTACACATGCATAAGCTATAAAAAAATGTGTAACACCAAAATCATATAATACTATCAAGGTAGTATTAGCAATAAAACATAAACCTTGCGCAAAATCTCCTAACTGTGAAGCCTCAACTCTACATAAAGGAAAAAAAACTCTTTCAACTGCATGAGGTTTTGCGTCACTCTCTCTCGATCTAAAAGATACAGGTCCTGAAGTTGTATTAATTGTCTTCCTCCGATCATAGTCCTTTGCCCTGTGCCCTATCTTCTGGAAAATAAAACACTTACCAGGAAAGGGTGTCATCAATTGAGGGCAAAAACTCTGGTAGTGTGGCCTTTCACACCTGAAACATCTGACTCTCATCCTTTATTGTTGCAATTGTTGATTGGCACTTCCTACTCCTACTATGTTGGGTCACCCATAATTTTGCTTCAACCTTATTTTTGCATTCAAGGAACCACCTGACTGATTCCTCAATACTCTGCTTCCTCAATACTCTACTTCGACCCATCTTAAGCCCCTCAAGTGTTTTGGCCTTCTCTACCTACACAGGAAGCTCTCTGATGGATAAAGGTACCATAAGAAATTTTAACTTTGTCCTTAAACCTTCTTCAAACTTCCTACATTTCCAGGCCTCAGAAGTCGTTTGGCTGTAGAATTACGTCAAATGCTCAAATCTAGTGGCATAAACATGTATTGACATACCACCGTGCTCCAGCCTTAAAAATTTAGCATCTTGAGTGATCTCTAAAAAATATTTCTCCAAGAATCATCTGCAAAAATTCTCCCAAAGCACTAACTCTCCTTTAGTAATCATCATCTACTAAGTCCTTATCCACTAGAACTTAACTTCCTTAGTGAACAAAAAGTTGCAAAGGCAACTCTCCTATCTTTAGAACATAAGTTATCTAGAAAGATCTTCCCCACCTCCCACATCCACTTCTCTATTGCATCTGGTCTTGCACTACTACTGAATTTAGGTGGATTATGCCTCAAACTTAATCAATATTTCCTGCTCTACCTGATGAAAAGAAGTAGAGGAAGTTGTCATCCCCCGCCTAACATTCCCCCACTATTGAAATGAAACTTCTTGTTGTTGAGCCATTGCAATCATCTTCACAACCCTTGCCAATGTGTTCACGTTCACTGAGGGAGGAGATGAGGTAAGAGGTCTAGGTGATTTGGGTGCCATTTACTATAAAAAATTTAGGAAAAATAAATTAGCAACATCTAACTTAGTTTCCTCACTTAACAATCACACACATATTCACAATAAAAGCACAACAAGCTCACATCCTTAGGTCAAACAAGGATACAACCAACTTTGATACCATAATTGTAACTGTCGCAATCAAAATCGCGACTGGTGTTAAGTGGTAAAAAGTTGATATAATTATGCCTTGAATTGTTATGAAACCACTTAACTTATGTTAATTCTAATCTATTTTTCTCCCAATATAGGATGAATTCGAGAATACCTTGATAAAAGAGTAAGGAGCATAATCGGAGTAAAACTGGAAGAAGGAAGAAGATTTTCAGCATGGAAGTCACTCGAGCGGGATGGACTCTCGCTTGAGCAAATATCAGTTATTCTTCTTTGGAAGTCAGTCGCTCAAGCGCAAGAAAATTCATTTGAGCGAATGTTAGTTATTCTTCTCTGGAGTTCACTCGCTCAAGCGAGCGTTTTGTCGCTTGAGCGAAAGACGCAAAACCCAAAAGCCCAATTTTTCCTATAAAAAGAGAAGATGTATTTTGAGAAAAGTAAGCAGTTTTGGAGAAGAAGAGGTGCGACTACTGCTAGAGTTTTGTCCAATCTTCATCAATTCTTCACTTCTTCCACATTTGGAGCATTGTAATGGCCAACATGAGTGACTAACTTCATTCTCTTGGGATTTGGTGCACTTCCTTTGAACTCTTTTGTATCATGGTGATATTTTGAGATATTAATCTATGTTTTGATGTTGTTATTCTTATCCTTTGTGCTTTGGAATGATTTATTCTTGATGTTTGGGATATGATTGGAAAATATATCTTGAACCCTAGATCACGGTAAGAATATTTTTTACGTTAATTGCTAGGAATGGAATGAATGTATCAATTGCTTAACACCCTAAACCTAATGCTGGAAAATCTCTTAATTGTGTGAGGAATCAACATTTATTAGGTTTTCTTATGAATTTCATGTGTGAGGAATCAACATGGATGATTTGAGTTGGTGGCATCAACATTGTTATGTTAATTGACGTTGTTAACTGACATTACCATTACAAAAGAGGGATAAGGAAGAAAGTTGTTAAGGTTCCAACATAAAACCAATTGACAATATATAGAGTAGCCTAACATGTATTTAAACCATACCAAATGACATGAGGTAGGCGATGTGGGACTTTCAACACACCCCCTCCAACGAAGCCTGCCGTACCAGGCAAAGGGTACTTTTGACCCAACTAAAGGGCAACTTTTGGCCCATGACAATAACCAGAAAGATGTTAGGATTTGGCTCTGATACCATGTTAAGGTTCCAACATAAAACCAATTGGCAATATGTGCAGTAGCCTAACATGTATTTAAACCATACAAAATGATATGAGGTAGGCGATGTGGGACTTTCAACAGAAGCCAATCCTAAGTACCCTTAATTGATATTTTCTCAATAATTTACAGTTCTTTGTCATTTAATTTCAATTCAACTCTTATTGCAAAACCCAATCTGTTTTAATCCACTTAGTAAGCATAATTGGGAATTTTCATTGAACCCGTTCCTCGTGGGATCGACTTTTATTTAATCGAAATACTATACTGCGATTGATAATTTTGGTACGCTTACCAATAATTCAACAAGTATTTCTGGCGCTGTTGCCGGAGAATGGTGTTCTTTGAGAATTTTTTGTTTAGCTTATTGAGTATTTTATTTTTATTTCTATTTTGTTTTATTTTTCAGTTTTAGTTTTACTTAATTATTGTCTTGTGCTAATCTTTGCTTGAGTTATTCTTTTGATTTATACGTTTAAGAGGACATGTATCTTCGAGCAGTTAGAATTTAATCCGGAGATTGAAAAAATAGCTCGGAGGAACCGAGGTAGAAGAAGAAGGGAAACTCAAGAACAAGCCACAGGAGAATCAGTTAACTCTTCTTCAATACTCAATTTACCAGACCCAATCATAGAAGATATGGCAGAAGACGGAACAAATCTGAATCCAAATCCAAATCAAAATCAAAATCCAAATTCAAATCCACCAAGAAGAACTCTCAGAAACTATGTTATACAGCAAGGTCCAAGACACTTTTTCAGCATTGTCGTTCCGAACAATCAAATATTGCAGATGAATCCAGCTTTCTTAAGCTTGATTAGTGCTCATCAATTCACTGGATTGGATCATGAAGACCCTTACATTCATTTGTCTACTTTTTATGAGTTGATTGGTACTATGGGATTTAGAGCAACAAATCTTGAATTTGCATATTTGAGATTGTTTCCTTTTTCTTTGTCAGGTAGGGCAAAGGAGTGGCTGAAGGCACATCCTAATCAGAGTTTGGCTAATTGGAGTAGTGTATAAGAGAAATTTCTGAACAGATTTTTCCCACCATCCCGCTACATCAAAGAAAAATCCGACATCACTTCTTTCAGACAAGGAGCAGATGAATCTTTTTGTGAAGCATGGGAGAAATTTAAATCACTATTGAGAAGATGCCCAAATCATGGATTTGACGACATTGTTCAATTGAATATTTTCTATACTGGCTTGCGACATGATGCAAATATGTTATTAGAGTTTGCAACAGTAGGATCCATGTTGGATGTAGAAATTGAACATGCCACAAGAATTATTGATGCACTAGCTTTTACAAACCAACAGGCCCAACATGATAGACATCCAATTCAAAGAAAGGGAGTTCTTGAACTTAACACATCAGATGTTATCTTAGCCCAGAATAAAATTTTGACTCAACAAATTGAAGCATTGAACCAGAAAATAGAGAAATTACCTCAACAAATGCACACAGTACAATCCATTCCTAATAAATAGATGAGTTGTGATGTGTGTGGAGGTGATCATGCAAATGAACAATGCTCTTATCAAGGCAACATTCAATAAGAAGAAGCTAATTATATGGGTGCTCAAGGTAGTAGTCAAGGCAGACAAGGTAATTTCCCTAACTCAAACAATTATCAGAATAATTTTGCACAAGGATGGAGAGGGAATCAGAATCAGAATCAGAATTTTGGGTGGAAACAAGGTGTTAGCTCATATACAAGACAACCTACATTTCAATAGCAGTCATATCAACAACCTCCATATCAGCAACAACATTATCCTTCAATTCCTGACAAAATGAGTAAGTTGGAGGATACTTTAGAAAAATTCATGCAAAGTACTATGGCTAATTAGAAAAATACTGAGGCTTCATTCAGAAATATAGAGACCCAGATAGGCCAACTGGCTAAACAATTATCTGAGCAGCAATGAGGACAGTTTTCAGCTAACACACAAACCAACCCCAGGGAGCAATGCAATTCAATAACTACAAGGAGTGGTAAGGTTATAGGAGAAGGGATTGGTGAGAACTTGGTTGTAGAGAAGGAAATCCTACAAGAAAAAGAGGATGAAAAGAAGAAAGATGAGTGTGAAGGAGAAAAAGAGAAAAATAAAAGTGAGAGTATAGAAAAAGAAAAAAATACTGAAAAAGAAGAAAAAAATAAAAAGAGTGAGAAAAAGAGGGAGAAAGATAAGAGTCAAATACCGCAACTAAAGGATTTACCATATCCTCGTCATCCTTCCAAGAAATATAAAGAAAGACAGTTTGCAAGATTCATGGATATTTTCAAGCATTTATAGATTAATATTCCATTTATGGAAGTTATGGAGCAGATGCCGACTTATGCAAAATTCATGAAAGAGTTGTTAACTAAGAAAAGGAAATTTACTGCAGAAACAGTGGAGTTAGAAGCAGGATGCAGCGCTATAATTCAGAAATCATTACCTCAAAAGTCCAAGGATCCTGACAGTTTCACTATACCAGTCACAATTGAGACATTACAAGTAGGTAAGACATTACTTGATTTGAATGCTAGTATAAATCTAATGCCTTTGTCTATGCTTAAAAGAATAGGAGACTTGGAAGTAAAGCCTACAAGATTGACATTGCAGCTAGCTAACAGATCTCTAAAATTTCCTTATGGTGTGGCAGAGGACGTTTTGGTCAGAGTTGATAAATTTATGTTCCCATTTGATTTTGTTGTGATGGATATGGAGGAAGACACTAAAGTTCCTCTTATACTGGGAAGACCTTTCATGAAGACAACAAAAGTTATTATTGATGTTGATGATGGCAAGTTAAAAGTCAGAGTAGAGGATGAGGAAGTTAATTTTAATGTGTTTGAAGCAATGAACCATCCTACAGATAAACAACATTGTATTAGGATGGATGTGGTAGATGATATCTTTCAAGCAGCAAGGAAGCAACTAACCAAAGCAAGCCCATTAGAAAAATCTTTTACAGGTATTAAT